AGTCATGATGCATTTTTGCAACAAAAACATAAAAAAAATACATCATGACTTTTCCGACAACCCAATATATAATCATGGGATGTGGAGTATAGCATAAGGAAGATAGTCAATGATATTGTAACAGTTATATAAGATGTCAGAGGGGTGGTAGCTTGGGGGAGAGGGGCTATCACTTTGTGAGGGGTGACTATTATGTTGCTTTGTACACCTAAAACTAATAAAATAAAAAAATAATAAGAAAAGAATGCATCTGGGGAAAGGTAGAAAATAAGGTAGTTTCTTTCCAACGAGTAGTAGCCTGCTGAATTTGAGCTTCCAAATATGGTCTTTTACCATAGTGCTAGAAGTGACATTAGAAAGTGTCACTTACTGTTCCATCGTCTTGAAAGCCAGGCCCTTCTAGGACTTGAGTAGTTGCATTTAACTTCGAGTGTTGTACTTTGTGTCTAGATGTTACCCATTATTGACCAGTATGCAGATGTGCTGGTGAAAAACCTGAGAAATGAAGCAGAGAAAGGGAAGTCCATCAACTTAAAAGAGTAAGTAGCAGTGCAGCTGCTGGGATTCTTAGCTCTGACATGGAGTTGAAATTCCCACTGTTGATTAACTCTAGCAGCCTGGAGAGAAATCTCTTCTATGTACATGAGCCAAGATGAATATGTCTGCTTAAGTGTCCTTGTATACTCTGGAAGACAAAAGTTTAGAAAGAAAAAAACATGATCTTACCCAAGTTTTGAGTGTAGACGTTATGGAATAGTGGCAGGGGAAGACACTTGGTACATACATGCGTATTGGCAGGCAGTGGGGAGGGTAGGAAACTTACAATGTGGAACTTGCAACAACTTAAAAACCGCTTCATGATTTTCTGAGTATACCAGCAAAATACTACATTTTAAATCTTATCACCACTTCTCCTTGCTTCAGTCTCAAAAAAGAGAAGGTCCATGCTGGCTGAGTGGCTCAGTTGGTTAAGAGCTCCCTCAAGAGCTTGAGCTCTGAGCAACAGTGGTTCAAGTCCTGGCCCAAGCTGAGCAGCCACTGAGCTGCCAATAGGTGGCAGGATGGCTCAGCTAAAAAAAAAGAAGGTTCTGTACACACCATGGGTAGGATGACCATATCATTTCTTGTCTAAACTAAGATATTTTTTAATTATGCAAGAATAATAGGTGTAAACTGGGAAAACTGGGGACATGTGATCAGTTACCTATGGGATTTCCCCAAACTGATTTAGGAGAGATTTATTATACATTTTTTTTAAACAAGGAACATTCTTAATTCTTACAGTTTTACAGAAATGAGTCTGCCCTCAGGGGAATCTCAGATCACTGGAGGTGAGAGTGGGTCTTTCAAGAGCCTTAGCAGGGGTGTAGAGAAGGAAGGATGGCATTCTTGGCAACTCAGACCAGGGTGCCATTGCTCTGTAATGTGCTGAAGAGGGATCAGCTCAGTATAGACACTGTGGTGACATAAGACCCAGATCAATGTTGCCTTTTTTACTCCACTAGGAAGAATTAATTTTTGTACCCTTTGTCCTGCTCACAGTACAGCTACTATTGCCCATACTCAGAACACACTACTGTAATTTGTCAGATTATGGGTCTCCACCCCTATGCGACTGATCTTCCTGAGGTCGCAGGTGGGTCTAACTTGTTATAGTGTCCACAACACCCCCAGCACAGGGCCATCTATATCAGTAGCACCTGATAAACACTTCATGCATGAGTGTGACAAGACCATAGACTCAGATGATCCAGCAGATGGTTGTGGCAGCGTGTAGCTCTTTACCTGTCTTTGCCTGAGCGTAGGAATTTACATGCTCTTCTTTCTGCAGCTGTTGGATAAGGATGGCAAAGAGGTGCTGATTCTAATTTTCCATGTCTGCCTTTCTCTACTCAGTGTCTTTGGGGCCTACAGCATGGATGTGATTACCAGCACATCATTTGGAGTGAACATCGATTCCCTCCACAACCCACAAGATCCCTTTGTGGAAAATATCAAGAAGCTGTTAAAATTTAATTTCTTGGATCCATTCATTCTTTTAATAAGTATGTGGGCTACTATATATTTTTTTCTTTCTTTCTCCCTCCATTTCCCCCTCCCTCCCTTCATCTCTCTCTTTCATTCTTTAAAAGCTTAATTGAGATATATGAGGTGTGATCACAAAATATGGTGACTGCTTAAATTTTTAAAAATTTATTACAATAAAAGACACATTGCCCTTAGTCTCTCTCAAAATACTCTCTCTCACTTTGAACACACTTATTCCATCATTTTGCCACTCTCTGAAGCAGTTCTGGAAGTCCTCTTTCTTGGATGTCTTTATTTGCACTGTTGTGGCTGCCTCAATGTCGTGAATCATTTTGATTTGGGGAAGAGCCAGAAATCTCATGGTCCCAGATCCGGTGAATGAAGACACACCATGATGTTTTTGTTGGACAAAAATTGCCACACCAGAAGCGATGTGTGACCTGGAGCCTTTCTGTTGTGATCACAAAATGGGGTGAATGCTGCTGCCTAGAGCCACCCAACAGAAGGGCAGGGATCTTCAATATGGAAAGTGGTGCATCCAACTTTAGTAACAGCGTGTGACAAGTTTCAACTTGTTCGGTGCAGTCAGTTGGGTGTGAGCTATGCTTGAGAAAAGATCTGTGTGGTATTATTTATTTATTTATTTATTCATTCATTATAGTTTCAGGTGTACAAAGCAATGTAATAACATTTACACCCCTCACTAAGTGATAACTGTCCCCCAAATCCACTGCCCCTCTGGTATCGTATATAGCTGTTACAATACCATTGACTATATTTGTTATGCTGTACTTTACATGCCGTGACCATATATATATATATAGTATATATATATATATATACTATATATATATATATATAGTATATATATATATATTATATATATTTAATTATAGTGGACATTCAATATTATTCTACTTCAGCTTCAGATGTATAGTGCAGCATCTACACAGTCTATGAAATGATTCCTTTGATAAGTACAGTACCCATCTGGCACCCTACATAGTCTTTACAACATTATTGATTATTCCCCATACTGTATTTTGTATCCCCGTGACTATATTGTGACTACTACTTGATAGAAGGTTGATTTACAGTGTGCTGTAAATCATCCTCCATCAAGACAACACTCCATGTCACACATCACTTCTGGTATACGACAATTTCTGTCAAATAAAAACATGATGGTGTGTCCTCATCTACTTTATTCACTGGATCTAGCACCATGTGACTTCTGGCTCTTCCCCAAAGTCAAAATGATTCAGGACATCGAGGTAGCCACGACAGTGCAGCTAAAGACTCATGAAAGAGGACTTCCCGAACTGCTTCAGAAAGTGGCAAGAATGATGGGATAAGTGAGTTCAAAGTGAGGTGGAGTATTTTGAGGGGGTTTAATGGCAGTGTGTCTTTTACTGTAATAATTTTTAAAATTGAAACATTCGCTGTATTGTTTGATCACACCTTGTAATTCACACAGTACATAATTCATTCATTCAAAGTGTACAATTTAATCACTTTTACAACCTAGTGTCCATTGACAGGTAAATGGGTAAAGACAATATGAATAGGAAGAGGACTTCTTGCTTCCAGTGGCAGGAGTGGGTAGTGAGGTTACTCAGACTAACCTTTCCATTGTAAAAAACCTGAAAAAATATTTTTAAAAAATATGACACACTCACACACACACACACACACACACACACACACACACACAATGGAATACTCTTCAGCTATAAAGAGAAAGAAAATTCTACCACTTGGGTGAAAACAGTGATGGACCTTGAGAGCATTATGATAAGTGAAATAAGTCAGACAGAGAAAAACAAATATTGTATGATCTCACTTATATGTGGAACCTAAAAATATACCCAAACTCGGAAAAACGAGAAATGATTTGTGGCTCTTGAGGTAGGGCTTGAAGGTGGTGAAATATACAAACTTTCAGTTATAAAATAAATAACAGTTGTAGTTTCCAAAAGTTCTTATTACAAGCGAGAAAAAAATTTTTTGTAGCTATATGAGGTGATTGATGTTAACTAAACTTACTGTGGTAATTATTTTGCAATATATGCATGTCAAGTCATTATGCTGTACACCTTAAACTTATATACTAATATGTTTCAATTATAACTCAATAAAACTGAAAAAATAGTTTTAGTACAATCAAAGATACATGTGATCATCATGATATCAATTGTTAGAACAATTCTGTGTACTTAGAAACCCTGTAAATTTTAACTTTCACCTCCCACTCCCCTTAGCCTTAAGAAACCACTAATCTACTTTATGTCTTTATAGATTTGCCTGTGATAGACACTTCATATAGATGGAATCACATAATATGTGGTCTTTGTGGCTTGCTTCTTTCATTTAGCATAATGTTTTCAAGGCTCATTCATGTTTGCATGTATCAGTACTTCATTTTTTATTATGGCCAAATAATATTCTACTGTATGGACATTCTGCATTTTGTTTATCCATTCACCAGTTGATAGACATTTGGGTTGTTCTATCTTTTGGCTATTGTGAATAGTGCTGCTATGCATATTCATGTACAAATTTAATTTGAATACTTGTTTCAATTCTTATTTTAAAAATTAATTTTATTGGGGTGACAGTGGTTAGTAAAGTTACATAGGTTTCAATTGTACAATTCTGTAATACATCATCTATATATCATATTGTGTGTTCACCACCCAGAGTCAGTTCATCTATCAACAAATATTTGATCCCATTTACCCTCATCTACCACCAGCCTCCCCACTTACCCTCTGTTAACCTCTAAACTGTTGTCTATAAGTTTTTCTTTTTTGTCTTGTTCCTTTGTTGCTTTCAGTTTTATATCCCACAACCAGTGAAATCATGTGGTTCTTGACATTTTCTGTCTGACTTATTTATAAAACTTGGATATTAATGCCTTCTCAGATGTATCATTGGTAAATGTCTTCTCCCATTCAGTAGGCTGTATTTTTGTTTTGTTGATGGTTTCTTTTGCTGTGCAAAAACTTTTTAGTTTCATGTAGTCCCATTTGTGTTTTTTTTTTTGTTTCCTTGTCTGAGGAGATATATTAGAAAAAAGTATTACTAAAAGCAATATCAGAAAATTTACTGCCTATTTTTTCTTTAGAGGAGTTGTATGGTTTTGGCTCTTATATTTAAGTCTTTAATCCATTTTGAATTTACTCTTAATACGGTGTAATATATAGTCTAGTTTCATTCTTTTGCATGTATCTGTCTAGTGTTCCCACCATCATTTATTGAATAGACTGTGTTTACCCCATTGTACAGTCTTCATCCTTTATCATGACCATATAGGTGGGCTTTCTATTCTGTGTTTGTTTGTATGCCTGTACAATTGCTGTTTTTAAGAACTATAGACTTGTAATAAATTTAGTTTCATATCAGGCAGCATGATACTCCAGATTTATTCTTCTTTCTCAAGATTGCCATGGCTATTTGGGGTCTTTTATGGTTCCATATAAATTTTAGGATTATTTGTTCTAGAGTTCTGTTTAAAATGTCATCAATATTTTGATAAGGATTGCATTGAATTTGTAGGTTGTTTTGAGTAGTATTGATACTTTAATGATGGTAATTCTTCCTATCCATAAGCACAGTGTATGTTTCCATTTATTTGTATCTTTTTAATTTCTTTCTTCAATGTCCTATAACTTTCTGAGTACAAGTCTTTTATTTCCTTGGTTAAATTTATTTCGAGGTATTTTATTATTTATTTATTTATTTTTAAATTTTATTGGGGACTATCCATGGTCATTGGTTACACATTGCTTTCATGCTACAGTGGCACAGTTGAGTCTTTTAAGGAGGGCACAGCTCACAGTGGCCCATGCGGGGATCGAACTGGCAACCTTGATGTCATCAGCACTATGCTCTAATCAACTGAGCTAACCGGTCACCCCCTGTAGTATTATTTTTTGATGCAATTGTAAATTGGATTGTTTTCTTAATTTTTATTTCTGATAGTTCATTATTGGTGTATAAAATGCAACCGATTTCTGCATATTAATTTTGTATGCTGCTACTTTACTGAATTCATTTATCAATTCTAATAGTTTCATGATGGACTATTTAGGGTTCTCTATATGTAGTATCATGTCATCTTCAATTAATGACAGTTTTACTTCTTATTTTCCAATTTGGATGCCTTTTATATTTTTTTCTTGTCTGACTGCTGTGGCTAGGACTTCCAATACTATGTTGAATACAAGTGGTGAAAGTGGACATCCTTATCTTGTTTCTGATCTGAAGAAAAATACTTTTAGTTTCTCCATGTTAAGTATGATATTAGCTGTGTTTTGTCATATATAGCCTTTATTATGTTGAGGTATGTTCCCTCTATTTCCACTTTGCACAGAGTTTTTATCATAAATGATGCTGGATTTTGTCAAATGTGTTTTCTGCATCTATTGATATCATATGGTTTTTATCACTCATTTTATGTAGTGTATCATATTTTTGATTTGCAGATATCGAACCAACCTGGCACCCTAAGAATAAATCCCACTTCATCATGGTGTATTATCTTTTTTTAAAAAAGATTTTATTGGGGAATCGGGGGAAGGGGAACAGACAAGTTGCTGTTGTTTTGTTCTTCAGTCTAGTTGTGGAGGACGTTGCTTCACTGGCCCAAGTTGGCACCATCATTGCGCTCTTCCTGAGCGAGGCAGATTAGTCGCCGGTTTCTGGCTCACGGCAGCTGCTGGCTGCTCACGCTGGCTGCTGGCTACACACGGTAGCTAATGGCAACCCACTGCAGCGGGGGCTGCAGCCTACCCATCACCGGTGACCCATGGCAGCCCAGCTCCAAGTTGACCTGTTGTTCAGCATCTTAGCTGTAGAGGGCAGTGTCACTGGCCCTCATATGTGGGATCCGAACAGGGGCCCTCTGGCATCCCAAGCCATTTCTTAACCAACGCGCCACTCGGCCGGCCCTGGTGTATGATCTTTTTTAATGCATTGTTGAATTTGGTTTGCTAATATTTTGTTGAGGATTTTT